GTGTGCCGCCTCGCCTTTGTGTGCCGCCTCGCCTTTGTGTGCCGCCTCGCCTTTGTGTGCCGCCTCGCCTTTGTGTGCCGCCTCGCCTTTGTGTGCCGCCTCGCCTTTGTGTGCCGCCTCGCCTTTGTGTGCCGCCTCGCCTTTGTGTGCCGCCTCGCCTTTGTGTGCCGCCTCGCCTTTGTGTGCCGCCTCGCCTTTGTGTGCCGCCTCGCCTTTGTGTGCCGCCTCGCCTTTGTGTGCCGCCTCGCCTTTGTGTGCCGCCTCGCCTTTGTGTGCCGCCTCGCCTTTGTGTGCCGCCTCGCCTTTGTGTGCCGCCTCGCCTTTGTGTGCCGCCTCGCCTTTGTGTGCCGCCTCGCCTTTGTGTGCCGCCTCGCCTTTGTGTGCCGCCTCGCCTTTGTGTGCCGCCTCGCCTTTGTGTGCCGCCTCGCCTTTGTGTGCCGCCTCGCCTTTGTGTGCCGCCTCGCCTTTGTGTGCCGCCTCGCCTTTGTGTGCCGCCTCGCCTTTGTGTGCCGCCTCGCCTTTGTGTGCCGCCTCGCCTTTGTGTGCCGCCTCGCCTTTGTGTGCCGCCTCGCCTTTGTGTGCCGCCTCGCCTTTGTGTGCCGCCTCGCCTTTGTGTGCCGCCTCGCCTTTGTGTGCCGCCTCGCCTTTGTGTGCCGCCTCGCCTTTGTGTGCCGCCTCGCCTTTGTGTGCCGCCTCGCCTTTGTGTGCCGCCTCGCCTTTGTGTGCCGCCTCGCCTTTGTGTGCCGCCTCGCCTTTGTGTGCCGCCTCGCCTTTGTGTGCCGCCTCGCCTTTGTGTGCCGCCTCGCCTTTGTGTGCCGCCTCGCCTTTGTGTGCCGGCCTCGCCTTTGTGTGCCGCCTCGCCTTTGTGTGCCGCCTCGCCTTTGTGTGCCGCCTCGCCTTTGTGTGCCGCCTCGCCTTTGTGTGCCGCCTCGCCTTTGTGTGCCGCCTCGCCTTTGTGTGCCGCCTCGCCTTTGTGTGCCGCCTCGCCTTTGTGTGCCGCCTCGCCTTTGTGTGCCGCCTCGCCTTTGTGTGCCGCCTCGCCTTTGTGTGCCGCCTCGCCTTTGTGTGCCGCCTCGCCTTTGTGTGCCGCCTCGCCTTTGTGTGCCGCCTCGCCTTTGTGTGCCGCCTCGCCTTTGTGTGCCGCCTCGCCTTTGTGTGCCGCCTCGCCTTTGTGTGCCGCCTCGCCTTTTGTGTGCCGCCTCGCCTTTGTGTGCCGCCTCGCCTTTGTGTGCCGCCTCGCCTTTGTGTGCCGCCTCGCCTTTGTGTGCCGCCTCGCCTTTGTGTGCCGCCTCGCCTTTGTGTGCCGCCTCGCCTTTGTGTGCCGCCTCGCCTTTGTGTGCCGCCTCGCCTTTGTGTGCCGCCTCGCCTTTGTGTGCCGCCTCGCCTTTGTGTGCCGCCTCGCCTTTGTGTGCCGCCTCGCCTTTGTGTGCCGCCTCGCCTTTGTGTGCCGCCTCGCCTTTGTGTGCCGCCTCGCCTTTGTGTGCCGCCTCGCCTTTGTGTGCCGCCTCGCCTTTGTGTGCCGCCTCGCCTTTGTGTGCCGCCTCGCCTTTGTGTGCCGCCTCGCCTTTGTGTGCGCTCGCCTCGCCTCTTTGTGTGCCGCCTCGCCTTTGTGTGCCGCCTCGCCTTTGTGTGCCGCCTCGCCTTTGTGTGCCGCCTCGCCTTTGTGTGCCGCCTCGCCTTTGTGTGCCGCCTCGCCTTTGTGTGCCGCCTCGCCTTTGTGTGCCGCCTCGCCTTTGTGTGCCGCCTCGCCTTTGTGTGCCGCCTCGCCTTTGTGTGCCGCCTCGCCTTTGTGTGCCGCCTCGCCTTTGTGTGCCGCCTCGCCTTTGTGTGCCGCCTCGCCTTTGTGTGCCGCCTCGCCTTTGTGTGCCGCCTCGCCTTTGTGTGCCGCCTCGCCTTTGTGTGCCGCCTCGCCTTTGTGTGCCGCCTCGCCTTTGTGTGCCGCCTCGCCTTTGTGTGCCGCCTCGCCTTTGTGTGCCGCCTCGCCTTTGTGTGCCGCCTCGCCTTTGTGGCCGCCTCGCCTTTGTGTGCCGCCTCGCCTTTGTGTGCCGCCTCGCCTTTGTGTGCCGCCTCGCCTTTGTGTGCCGCCTCGCCTTTGTGTGCCGCCTCGCCTTTGTGTGCCGCCTCGCCTTTGTGTGCCGCCTCGCCTTTGTGTGCCGCCTCGCCTTTGTGTGCCGCCTCGCCTTTGTGTGCCGCCTCGCCTTTGTGTGCCGCCTCGCCTTTGTGTGCCGCCTCGCCTTTGTGTGCCGCCTCGCCTTTGTGTGCCGCCTCGCCTTGTGTGCCGCCTCGCCTTTGTGTGCCGCCTCGCCTTTGTGGTGCCGCCTCGCCTTTGTGTGCCGCCTCGCCTTTGTGTGCCGCCTCGCCTTTGTGTGCCGCCTCGCCTTTGTGTGCCGCCTCGCCTTTGTGTGCCGCCTCGCCTTTGTGTGCCGCCTCGCCTTTGTGTGCCGCCTCGCCTTTGTGTGCCGCCTCGCCTTTGTGTGCCGCCTCGCCTTTGTGTGCCGCCTCGCCTTTGTGTGCCGCCTCGCCTTTGTGTGCCGCCTCGCCTTTGTGTGCCGCCTCGCCTTTGTGTGCCGCCTCGCCTTTGTGTGCCGCCTCGCCTTTGTGTGCCGCCTCGCCTTTGGTGTGCCGCCTCGCCTTTGTGTGCCGCCTCGCCTTTGTGTGCCGCCTCGCCTTTGTGTGCCGCCTCGCCTTTGTGTGCCGCCTCGCCTTTGTGTGCCGCCTCGCCTTTGTGTGCCGCCTCGCCTTTGTGTGCCGCCTCGCCTTTGTGTGCCGCCTCGCCTTTGTGTGCCGCCTCGCCTTTGTGTGCCGCCTCGCCTTTGTGTGCCGCCTCGCCTTTGTGTGCCGCCTCGCCTTTGTGTGCCGCCTCGCCTTTGTGTGCCGCCTCGCCTTTGTGTGCCGCCTCGCCTTTGTGTGCCGCCTCGCCTTTGTGTGCCGCCTCGGCCTTTGTGTGCCGCCTCGCCTTTGTGTGCCGCCTCGCCTTTGTGTGCCGCCTCGCCTTGTGTGCCGCCTCGCCTTTGTGTGCCGCCTCGCCTTTGTGTGCCGCCTCGCCTTTGTGTGCCGCCTCGCCTTTGTGTGCCGCCTCGCCACTTTGTGTGCCGCCCTCGCCTTTGTGTGCCGCCTCGCCTTTGTGTGCCCGCCTCGCCTTTGTGTGCCGCCCTCGCCTTTGTGTGCCAGCCTCGCCTTTGTGTGCCGCCTCGCCTTTGTGTGCCGCCTCGCCTTTGTGTGCCGCCCTCGCCTTTGTGTGCCGCCTCGCCTTTGTGTGCCGCCTCGCCTTTGTGTGCCGCCTCGCCTTTGTGTGCCGCCTCGCCTTTGTGTGCCGCCTCGCCTTTGTGTGCCCGCCTCGGCCTTTGTGTGCCGCCTCGCCTTTGTGTGCCGCCTCGCCTTTGTGTGCCGCCTCGCCTTTGTGTGCCGCCTCGCCTTTGTGTGCCGCCTCGCCTTTGTGTGCCGCCTCGCCTTTGTGTGCCGCCTCGCCTTTGTGTGCCGCCTCGCCTTTGTGTGCCGCCTCGCCTTTGTGTGCCGCCTCGCCTTTGTGTGCCGCCTCGCCTTTGTGTGCCGCCTCGCCTTTGTGTGCCGCCTCGCCTTTGTGTGCCGCCTCGCCTTTGTGTGCCCGCCCTCGCCTTTGTGTGCCGCCTCGCCTTTGTGTGCCGCCTCGCCTTTGTGTGCCGCCTCGCCTTTGTGTGCCGCCTCGCCTTTGTGTGCCGCCTCGCCTTTGTGTGCCGCCTCGCCTTTGTGTGCCGCCTCGCCTTTGTGTGCCGCCTCGCCTTTGTGTGCCGCCTCGCCTTTGTGTGCCGCCTCGCCTTTGTGTGCCGCCTCGCCTTTGTGTGCCGCCTCGCCTTTGTGTGCCGCCTCGCCTTTGTGTGCCGCCTCGCCTTTGTGTGCCGCCTCGCCTTTGTGTGCCGCCTCGCCTTTGTGTGCCGCCTCGCCTTTGTGTGCCGCCTCGCCTTTGTGTGCCGCCTCGCCTTTGTGTGCCGCCTCGCCTTTGTGTGCCGCCTCGCCTTTGTGTGCCGCCTCGCCTTTGTGTGCCGCCTCGCCTTTGTGTGCCGCCTCGCCTTTGTGTGCCGCCTCGCCTTTGTGTGCCGCCTCGCCTTTGTGTGCCGCCTCGCCTTTGTGTGCCGCCTCGCCTTTGTGTGCCGCCTCGCCTTTGTGTGCCGCCTCGCCTTTGTGTGCCGCCTCGCCTTTGTGTGCCGCCTCGCCTTTGTGTGCCGCCTCGCCTTTGTGTGCCGCCTCGCCTTTGTGTGCCGCCTCGCCTTTGTGTGCCGCCTCGCCTTTGTGTGCCGCCTCGCCTTTGTGTGCCGCCTCGCCTTTGTGTGCCGCCTCGCCTTTGTGTGCCGCCTCGCCTTTGTGTGCCGCCTCGCCTTTGTGTGCCGCCTCGCCTTTGTGTGCCGCCTCGCCTTTGTGTGCCGCCTCGCCTTTGTGTGCCGCCTCGCCTTTGTGTGCCGCCTCGCCTTTGTGTGCCGCCTCGCCTTTGTGTGCCGCCTCGCCTTTGTGTGCCGCCTCGCCTTTGTGTGCCGCCTCGCCTTTGTGTGCCGCCTCGCCTTTGTGTGCCGCCTCGCCTTTGTGTGCCGCCTCGCCTTTGTGTGCCGCCTCGCCTTTGTGTGCCGCCTCGCCTTTGTGTGCCGCCTCGCCTTTGTGTGCCGCCTCGCCTTTGTGTGCCGCCTCGCCTTTGTGTGCCGCCTCGCCTTTGTGTGCCGCCTCGCCTTTGTGTGCCGCCTCGCCTTTGTGTGCCGCCTCGCCTTTGTGTGCCGCCTCGCCTTTGTGTGCCGCCTCGCCTTTGTGTGCCGCCTCGCCTTTGTGTGCCGCCTCGCCTTTGTGTGCCGCATGCCGCCATTCCCTCCCTCTGCTCCCCTTGTTCTCTCACCTATTTCTGTCGGTTCTCCTTCTTTAGCTTGCTTTCGTTGCTTGATACCGCCCCACCCTCTTGCCACCGTCCCCATCATCCCTGCTTGACCCTCTTTGCCTGACCACTCCCCCCCTCCCCCCACACCTCTACCCTCGCATCGCAGGTACCTCTGCACCTTTTTCATTGTGGACCTGCTCGCACTCTTCCCCTGGGACACCTTTTTTCAGGTATCACCCTTTTCCAGATATCACCTTTTTCCAGATATCACCTTTTTCCAGATATCACCTTTTCCCAAATATCACCTTTTTCCAGGTATCACCTTTTTCCAGATATCACCTTTTTCCAGATGTCACCTTTTTCCAGATATCACGCGGGAACTATCTGTTCCCGGGTGAAATAATATTTTTCCAGGTATCACAGGTGTTACATGGAGAAACGAAGCCCTGATGGGATCACGGAATTGAATGAAGCAACACAAGATGAATGCCCGATTGTGTGTGTGTGTGTGTGTTTGTGTGTGTGTGTGTGTGTGTGTGTGTGTGTGTGTGTTTATCTATTGTGTCTATTCAACAGCACTACAACAGGGTTCACAACAACAGAAATTGTGCTGAGTGGGTTACAGGTTCTTCCATTTGCAGTGAAGGTCGAGAAAACACAAGTTCCACACCTATGCCTCATCGAAACATCCTTCTCTGACCGGCTTTTCCTTTGTTTCTCATGTTTCGCTGTTCGTCCACTTCTCGGGTTTGCCAGCTGGCAGGGGGGGAGGCGAGAGACAACTTGCTGAGGTGGTTCCTGTGGACCCGCGTTGTGAGGACGCGCCATATCATGAACTACTTTCACAGGTGTGTATCATGAACTACTTTGTGACTCGTATGTGTGCGCTGTGCGGTGGCGTTGTGACTCGTATGTGTGCGCTGTGCGGTGGCGTTGTGACTCGTATGTGTGCGCTGTGCGGCGGCGTTGTGCATTTCTTAGCCTCCACATAACGACTCCCTACACCACCCGTGTGTCTCCCCACCACCCAGGTTGCAGCGCGACATCCATGTGAGCTACTTCGTAGTGCGCGTCGTGAAGCGAAACCTATCTTGTATGAGCGATTTTCCGTACCTGCTACGCAACTCTCATCTCCTATTATCTATCTGCAATCTCACTTTCGCTGCTCTCCCCCCATCACCACGCAGGTTGCAGCGCGACATCCATGTGAGCTACTTCGCAGTGCGCGTGGTGAAGCTCATCTTCATCGAGCTCTACATCACCCATGTGGCCGGCTGCTTCTTCTACTTCCTCGCCACCACCTACCCTCCCGACCAGGTGGGAGTTAGATGTAGGCAAAGGTGGGTCAGATTCACCACCTACCCAGGTGGGTAGGAGGCGTCATATGTAGCGCACACTGTGCTGCAAGCCTCCACTGGACCACGTGTAATGCGAGCCTTCATTCCCCCTTTGGACCGCGTCTGAGCCATATGTAGCATACATGGTTTGCCCAAACCTTGTTTGGCTCTAAGTTGGAATAAACGCGTTTAGCGTTTTGTACGCTCTCGTATATACGCGAGATTATATACGCGAGAGTATATACGCGAGATTATATACGCGAGAGTATATACGCGAGATTATATACGCGAGAGTATATACGCGAGATTATATATGCGAGAGTATATACGCTAGACGCTGGCCATGAGGGGTCTGGTACGCACAAGAATACGCTTGCCCGGGCAGGGAAAAACTTTTTCCCGGGCAGATTTTTTGGGTAAGAGGTGGGGATGGGGGGTGATGTAACCCCCATCCCCTTTTTATTAATATCAAAGTTACAGAAAAAAAAACCCGTAAAACTCTGAGGGTGTAGAACGAGAACTTGTTGCTGTAGGAGTAGCAGCCATGGTGGCTGGGGAGAAGAGGTAGCTAGAATAGGAAGCGAGAGAATGAATATCGAGTGAACAAATGCCACTCTTCATGCCTGGGAGATTGGGTTGGGTTGAGCTCCCAACCAGTAAAGTAGCGGTTGAAGGGGATGGTGGAATGCTGTGGTTTAAAGGGGTGTGAAACGGTGGAGGGGTGGGGTTGAGGAGGTTTGGAGCTCAAGATTCAAAATTCGAGTTCAGTTCGCGACATCTGCGACTCGAAATAGAGATCGCCATGTCGCGAGCTTCAGATTGATTTTTTTTTTTTCGGTCTGCCCGAAATTCAACTCAGCGAATTTTCAAATTATACGCAGCGTACGAATTCGTTAAGCGTATAAACGCAAAACGCAAAAGCAAAGTAGCGTATATTCCAACTTAGGTTTGGCCTTAGTTGCGGAAGACGCGTCTAGCGTCTTAGACGCGTCCGTCTAGACGCAGCGTCTAAGACGCTAGACGCTAGACAGTGTAGATTAGACGCAATATTAGACGAAAACCCGGGCAGGCCTAAAAAAAAGGTTCGGGCAGACCAAAAAAAGTTCTATGGGGCATGGGGAGGGTGGGGGACATGCACCTATGTCACAATGGGGTGAATTTTTCCCCGTACCATAATTTTTTCCCCATTCTTAGACTTCACAAAAATCATCACATCTCATCATATATAGTTAGGTTTCCATGTCTCTCTAGTAGTAGCAAACTCGAAGAACAATATTACTACTACATCTCTCTCCTATCACTACGCCTCCTAGCTCTCCTCCTCGTCCTCCTCCTCGTCCTCCTCCTCCTCCTCCCCTTCCTTCTCCTGCTCATCCTGTTTCTCCCACTCATCGAAGCACACGTCGTCCTCGTCCACCTCCACCTCCCCATCCTCCTCCAACTTGTACCCCTCGGGGAGGGGAGGGGGGGGAATGTTCCCCTCCACCACCGCACCCTTCCTTCCCACCACACTAGGCCCCGCGTCACCCGCATCCTTGTGGAAGTTGTGCACAACATTCCAGTTGTGCGCAACGTACACAAGGTCGCGCACTTTCTCCGACCCGAGCCGGTTCCTGCGCGCTGTGTGCACGCCATCCCACGTAGACCAGTTCCGCTCGCACGGGGAAGCGGAAACGGCCTGGGACAGCGTACGTCGCGCAACGCGCGCCAGGTCGGCGTACTCCCATCCATTGTACTGCCACCACAACATCACGTTCCCCGTCCCCAACTGAATCTCCCCACGCCCATCGATCGCGGTCTGCGTGCCGAATCCTCCTTCGCCGTTGATGTAGGCCGTCACCCCCTCGTGCAGCGGCCGCACTGGTCCCTTCTTGCCGCGGGACTTCTTCCAGTATGTGTTGACGAAAGCCATCTGTCGCTCCAGCCACTCCTGCATGACCTTGGTGCACTCCGCATCCTGCAGAAAGATCCACTCCTCCTGGTTGGCCGGGTTCAAGATCCGGCCTGCCACGTGGAGGGGGCAAGCCAAGCTCTCGTCCCAACGCCTCCTCAAATGCTCCCGCACCTTCTCCTTATCCGCCCTGCTCAGCTTGCACTCCCTCCCATCCAGCAGCTTATCCAACTCCTCCGTCAGCTGCAGCATGTTGTCGTAGCTGGCCCATCATCCCCTTCGCCGTTGAGTCCGTCCTCCGCATCACGTTGTAGAACAGCTCCATCACCTGCACAAAGACGTCCACCTTCTTCCACCACGCTGAGTCCATCACCCACCCCTCGAAATCCGCTCCCGTCAGCGTGTTCCCCCCCTTCTCCGCCCAGTCCTTGTGCGTCACCATCGCCGTGAGCTGCTGGCGAACGTCGCGCAGACGAGACACTGCGATGAACTGCGTTCCAAAGCGCGTGCCTGCCGGGCGCAACACCTGCAGCGATTTCTCCTCGCCGTGCAACTCCGGGCTCCGCATGAAGGCGCGCGTCCACTGGTGGCCCCGCACGAAGGATATCATGTTGTCAGCCTGGGTCACGACCACCTGCGCCCAGTCCATCTTGCCGATGTCCTCCATCAGCAGGTCCAGCACGTGCGTGGCGCAGGGAACGAGGTCGAGATGCGGCCACTCCTTCTGCAGCAACTTGCCAGCAGCTTTGTAGTTGCTGCCGCCGTCTGTGCAAAGCGCCACGACGTGCTCTGGCCCGATGCGCTCGATGATCGGCCGCAGGACGCCGACGATGAACACGCCACTCTTCGTCGCCGCCTTGCAGTCGACCGCCTCAACGAAGACCGCTCCAGTGTCGTTGATGCAAATGATGTTCATCTGCGCGCGACCGCCCTTGTCTTGCATCATGTCGCTGGCGATCGTCACGCCTGTCTCCCTCCACGACCGCGTAACCGGCGACAGCGCCTTCTCAATCCTCTGCTTGCACTCAAGCAGGCCGGCGCCTCCGACGTAGTGCCGCTTGGGGGGGACGTGGTTGGGGCCGGCGGCGGTGACGGCTCGCAGCATGTTGAGGAAGAGCGGGTGCTCGCACAGAGACTCCGATGTGCGCGTCCCCGCGAGGTAGAGGACAATCGCCTCGTCGGCCGCCCGCCTTGCCGCGACCCCACCCTCGCCGTAAAAGTCCTCCATGCGCCCGCGCTTCCCCTTCCCCTTCGCCGCGCTCTTGCCGCTCACCGCCTCGATCGCCGCATTTGTCGCCCGCGCCTTTTGGTTGCGCGCCCGAATCTTCGCTTCGAACATCTCGCGAATCTCAGAGGAAATTTCCTTCGGCACATCCTTGCAAACGACTCCCGCCTCGCGTCGCCGGTGGGGGTCATCCCACTCGGCGAGATGCTCGGGACACCGGCTACTACTAAACGAAAACTTCTTGTGGCACCAAAGACACTCCACTTGCTCGCCCTTTTTCTTCGGATCCATAAAAAAGTAGTAGTGCTTGTAGAACGGGTGGTCGGGAAACTTAGTAGACTTCTTGTCAATCCCCTCCATTTCCGCGGAAACACGAGCGGAAGAACCCTCGCCGACGGCATTCTCGTTCGCGGAGGAGGACCTAGACGAATGGCTACTAGAAGACATGGTTGCGCGGTGGAAGGAGCTAAACCCTAAGGGTTTTCGAAAGAGATTTGGAAGAAATGAATGATGGGGAGCAAAATGAGGGATTTGTGCTCCCCAACCTCTTGGTGGTTAGCCATAGAGGTTGGTTTTTCTAGATACCAAGCCGTGAAGTGTGGTTTGTGTTCACTTTTGGTTTTGGGGGATTCAAATTTGCTTGGGGGCTGGTTTTTGTGGTCGAAATGGGTGGGAAGGGGTTCTAATGGCGCGAAATTGATTTTCGCGTCGAAATGGCGAATGTCAATTTCGCGCGCGCGAATTTTTTTTTTTTCAGGCTGCCCGAAAAAAAAACCCCCAAGCGTCTTGCGTCTAAAACCGCGTCTTGCGTCTTGCGTCTAGACGCGTCTAGACGCAAGACGCAAGACGCGGTTTGCGTCTTCCGCAACTAAGGGTTTGGCTCACATGTGATGTGATGCATACACACTGTTCGCCTTGCATTGTGCTACCTTGGCTCTGATGCACACTGTTTGCCGTACGTTGTGCTACGGTGGCGCTCCAGTCCGAGGTGTGAATTGCAGGTGTCAAGGTCAATCTGAGTGTCTTGCACTTTATTTCTATATTGCTCTCTGCGTTTCCTCAAACAACCTTTAAATGCTGCAAAACGTAGCTCGATTGGCCCAATCGAACGCTACCTCCATCTTTCACACACTTGCATGCGCCAACCAATCCTCACCTCATGCACTTGGATGACCTTGCATTGCAGGAGGGCAGCACGTGGATAGGCAGTTTGACGCTGGGTGACCTGACGTACACCAACTTCCGGGAGATTGACCTGTACACACGCTACTTCACATCACTCTACTGGTCTGTCATCACCATGGCCACCATCGGTGAGTGCAGCTTGAGTCATCACCATGGCCACCATCGGTGAGTGCAGCTTGAGTTGTGTGCTCATAAGCCCAGCATGAAGACCTTGAGGTTTGGATGAGCGTCATCGGCGTTTGATCAGCAAGAAATACCAGAGGCTGTGTGCGTGCGTGGCGGATCGTAGAGGCGCTGACCATGCTCAACGGCAAGGAATTCTTGCGCATAGCGAAGTTCAGCACTTTTACGATCAAGCGCCCGCTGCCGTTGTCGAACCTCGCCTGCACCAAGTAATCCGCTGCACACGCGCACCGCTTCTGGTCTTCTTGTTGATCAACTGCCAATGATCCTCTTCCGACCCGCCAGCCAATTCCTCCACTTGAGTATGCATCTTCATGGATTTGTGTTGGGCTCCATGGTCTTGACACCGCCGAACCTAATTAAGCGAGGACAGCTTCAAAGGGCGCTATTGTGCATGTCCTCCCCAGCTGTCCTCGCTCGATTATATTTGGCTGGCGTGCTTGCCTGGATCTCGCTCGATTAACATCAATGGTGGCGAGACCATAGGGCACAACATCGTCTTCCCCAGCTGTCCTCGCTTGATAGGCTTTGGCTGGTCTTCCCACCTGTTTCTTGCTGCATGTTGCCCCATCCGCATTCCTTCTTAATTCCAGACTATGGCGACGTGTACGCACCCCATGAGCCGCAATAAATGCTCCTCCCACTCATTTGCTCCTTTCTACTTCCCGTGCCTCGTACCACCTTGCCAGGGTACGGCGACGTGCATCCAGTGAACGCGCGTGAGATGGTATTCGCCATGGCCTACATCTCCTTCGACCTCGTGCTCTCCGCCTACCTCGTCGGTGAGCCATGCCATGCCATGCCATGCTCTTCCATGCTGTGCCATGCCATGCCTTGCTCTCTGCACCCCACCTCATCCTCTTGAACCTTGTTGGGGGGGGAAACTCCGCCCTCTCCTGGTGCACATCATAGGGTCTGTTGTGCTGCCGCCAATGCCCCTTCAAGGGCCCAGGGAGGTCTGTATGCTGCTGTCATTGTCCCTTGCCCTGAGCTTACACACCATTGTGCCCTCACCATCGTCTTACACCTCATTGTGCGCTGATCTCACACCACGACGTGCCCTGGGCAGGCAACACACGGCGATGGTGGTGAAGGGGTGCTTATGCTGCCACATTTGCACTGTACAGTGTGCCTCACACCCGGTTCCACCCCGTTGCACCCCGTTGCACCCCGTTGTACCCCGTTGTACCGCGTGCAGGCAACATCACGAAGATGGTGGTGAAGGGTTTTTATGCTGCCCAATTTGCCCCTTATCTCCTTGCGTATTGCCCCCTGTGCCCTGTGCTCTGTGCCCTGTGCCCTGTGCCCTGTGCCCTGTGCCCTGTGCCCTGTGCCCTGTGCCCTGTGCCCTGTGCCCTGTGCCCTGTGCCCTGTGCCCTGTGCCCTGTGCCCTATGCCCCGTGCCCCTCACAGGCAACATCACGGCGATGGTGGTGAAGGGGTCCAACACGACACGGTACCGGGAGAAGATGTCGGCTCTCATCAAGTACATGAACCGCAACCACCTGCCACACTCCCTGCGCCAGCAGATGAGGCAGGTGAGACTGTGAGAGGAGTGGGAGTGGAGGGTAGGGAGAGTGAGCGTGCCGGGGAAGGAGTGAGAAGATGTCGGCTCTCATCAAGTACATGAACCGCAACCACCTTCCACACTCACTCAGGCAGCAGATGAGGCAGGCGAGAGGGGTGGGAGAGAGAGAAGAAGAATCCACTCGCACTCACTCACTGCATCCGTTATTATCAACAGATGAGGCGGTGCCAGGCCAGTGGCTGCATTGCTGCCATCCGTCCCTCACCCACGTTGCTGTCTTCTCTCTACCATCTCATCCGTCCCTCACCCACGTTTCTGTCTTCTCTCTCCCATCTCATCCGTCCCCATACCGGCACGGGCGCCCAGCATTTAGAACAGAGCGGGTGATGGATGACGGCATAGGGGCCTTTCCTCTCACTATCCTCTCCTTCCCCTCCAGTCCCTTCCACCACTCCATCCACCTCATCCCTCTCAACGATGCCAAGGCCAGCACGTGCGGCTGCAGCGCGAGACGAAGGTCGAGGGGATGGAAGAGGTTGGGGGGCTTTCTTTCACCACCCTGTCTGCCTCAACATGCCTCATGCCCATCCACCACACCCCATCGGCGTCTATCTGATCCCCCCCACCCGCCATACCAGCACGTGCGGCTGCAGATTGAGGCGGAGCAGGTGAAGGATGAGGTGATGGAGGAGGTTGGGGGTCTAAGGCCGGTTGGGGGGCTTTCTTTCACCACCCTTTCTATGACCACCCCCGGTGTCCCAACGTGACCCATTTATCTGGTCCCTCCCACCCACCCACCCATCGCCCCACTCACCCATGCATGCACCACACCAGCACGTGAGACTGCAGTGTGAGACGGAGCAGGCGGAGGAGGTGATGGAGGAGATGCAGAGGCGTTGCCCCCACCCACCACACCACCCTCACCCTCCCCACGTTGCCCACCCTCCCACCCCTCCCATGCGTCACACCAGCACGTGAGGCTGCAGTTTGAAACAGAGCAGGTGGAGGACGAGGTGATGGAGGAGTTTCCTCTCAGCATCCGCCACAAGGTGGCGCGCGCCCTCTACCAGCGCGCTGTGGAGGCGTGCTACCTCTTCGACGGGTGCTCGGGAGAATGCATTAACCAGATCGTGAGTCGTGAGCTATGCTGTATGAAATAGAGGTTTTGTCTCTGACTTGAAACTACGTCTACCAGTGTTCCATTGACGACTGCTACCTCTTTCACAGGTGCTCGGATGAGTGCGTCAGGCAGATGGTGCTTGCAGGTGCATCCAGGTGCCGATGCCCGAGTACTACTGCCTTGTACCCCCCCCTCACGTTCTGCCCATAGTGCACTGTGCTGTGCTGTGTGATGCGGTGTGGTGCGGTCCCGACCGGTGGCGCGCGCCGTGCCAGAGTACTACTGCCCGCTGGAGGTGCTCATTCAGAAGAACGACATCTGATCCCCTGTCTCACGCCCCGCCCATTGTGTGCGGTGCTGTGCTCTCCTCACAGATGGCGCACGCCATCCCCCCTCATCCAGAAGAACAGCGCCATACCCCCTCTCTCACACTCCGGTGCCGCCCATGCTCTGCCCCCTGTTTCAACAGGTAGCGCGTGCAGTGCCCGAGTAGGTACTACTACCCCTTGGAGTGGAGGTGCTCATTCAGAAGAACGACACTATGCCCCCTGGCTCACGCTCTTCCCATTGTGTGTTGTGTTGTGCTGAGCAGTGCTGTGTGGTGCTGTGCGGTCCCAACAGGTAGCGCGTGCAGTGCCCGAGTACTACTACCCCTTGGAGTGGAGGTGCTCATTCAGAAGAACGACACTATGCCCCCTGGCTCACGCTCTTCCCATTGTGTGTTGTGTTGTGCTGAGCAGTGCTGTGTGGTGCTGTGCGGTCCCAACAGGTAGCGCGTGCAGTGCCCGAGTACTACTACCCCTTGGAGTGGAGGTGCTCATTCAGAAGAACGACACTATGCCCCCTGGCTCACGCTCTTCCCATTGTGTGTTGTGTTGTGCTGAGCAGTGCTGTGTGGTGCTGTGCGGTCCCAACAGGTAGCGCGTGCAGTGCCCGAGTACTACTACCCGCCGGAGGTGCTCATTCAGGAGAACGACGCCTTACCCCCTGTCTCACGCTCTGCTATGCTGTGCGGTGCGTGCAGGTAGCGCGCGCCACCCCTGAGTACTACTACCCGCTGGAGGTGCTCATTCAGAAGAACGACGCTGCAGAGCACATGTTCATCGTCTGCTCCGGCACTGTCCAGGAAGCTTCCTGCGTGCACGGCGAGGGGACGGACGACGAGCACTGGGCGACCCTCACAGCCAGTAATGTGGGTCGCGGGGACCTGCTGGGTTTGAGAGTGGCGGTTTCTAGGTGGGGATGTGCTGGGATGTAGACATGAGCTCAAGGGCGAACACCTGTTCGGTTCGCCTCGAACATGCTCGGGAGAATGCATTAACCAGATCGTGAGTCGTGAGCTATGCTGTATGAAATAGAGGTTTTGTCTCTGACTTGAAACTACGTCTACCAGTGTTCCATTGACGACTGCTACCTCTTTCACAGGTGCTCGGATGAGTGCGTCAGGCAGATGGTGCTTGCAGGTGCATCCAGGTGCCGATGCCCGAGTACTACTGCCTTGTACCCCCCCCTCACGTTCTGCCCATAGTGCACTGTGCTGTGCTGTGTGATGCGGTGCGGTGCGGTCCCGACCGGTGGCGCGCGCCGTGCCAGAGTACTACTGCCCGCTGGAGGTGCTCATTCAGAAGAACGACATCTGATCCCCTGTCTCACGCCCCGCCCATTGTGTGCGGTGCTGTGCTCTCCTCACAGATGGCGCACGCCATCCCCCCTCATTCAGAAGAACAGCGCCATACCCCCTCTCTCACACTCCGGTGCCGCCCATGCTCTGCCCCCTGTTTCAACAGGTAGCGCGTGCAGTGCCCGAGTAGGTACTACTACCCCTTGGAGTGGAGGTGCTCATTCAGAAGAACGACACTATGCCCCCTGGCTCACGCTCTTCCCATTGTGTGTTGTGTTGTGCTGAGCAGTGCTGTGTGGTGCTGTGCGGTCCCAACAGGTAGCGCGTGCAGTGCCCGAGTACTACTACCCCTTGGAGTGGAGGTGCTCATTCAGAAGAACGACACTATGCCCCCTGGCTCACGCTCTTCCCATTGTGTGTTGTGTTGTGCTGAGCAGTGCTGTGTGGTGCTGTGCGGTCCCAACAGGTAGCGCGTGCAGTGCCCGAGTACTACTACCCCTTGGAGTGGAGGTGCTCATTCAGAAGAACGACACTATGCCCCCTGGCTCACGCTCTTCCCATTGTGTGTTGTGTTGTGCTGAGCAGTGCTGTGTGGTGCTGTGCGGTCCCAACAGGTAGCGCGTGCAGTGCCCGAGTACTACTACCCGCCGGAGGTGCTCATTCAGGAGAACGACGCCTTACCCCCTGTCTCACGCTCTGCTATGCTGTGCGGTGCGTGCAGGTAGCGCGCGCCACCCCTGAGTACTACTACCCGCTGGAGGTGCTCATTCAGAAGAACGACGCTGCAGAGCACATGTTCATCGTCTGCTCCGGCACTGTCCAGGAAGCTTCCTGCGTGCACGGCGAGGGGACGGACGACGAGCACTGGGCGACCCTCACAGCCGGTAATGTGGGTCGCGGGGACCTGCTGGGTTTGAGAGTGGCGGTTTCTAGGTGGGGATGTGCTGGGATGTAGACATGAGCTCAAGGGCGAACACCTGTTCGGTTCGCCTCGAACATGTTCGAGACAAACCGAACATGCCTTTATTTTTGGCAAAAAATGTTCGGCCGAACATGTTCGATGTTCGCGGATTCGGTGGTACCGGGGAGGGGGGGGGGGGGGGGGGGGGGGGGAAGGCGACGGGGGAGGTGTCAGAATGTTATAATTGTCTAGCCTGCAGTGGGGTACTCTATAGTGAGTACAGCCCAATTAGGGTTTGCTATATGTATCCAACTGCTTGCTAGTGAACCACCTCCTTTCTTCATTCTCACTTTCTACTGCTAATTCTGACATGCTATCAGAACAGGTCGATCCCCTTGGGTCGATCCTGTGGGTGGGCCCACCACCTCACTGCTTCCGCTGCTACTGCTACTCTGTGTGTTGCACGCCCCGTGGCGTGCGACGGATTTTTCATCCCGCCGCGCGCTCGGAGCGTGCGGCGGTTTTCTGCCCGCCGTGCGCCCCGAGGCGCGCGGCGGTTTTCTGCCCGCCGTGCGCCCCGAGGCGCGCGACGGCTTTCTGCCCCGTCACTCCGCGCGTCGCTCCCGGGAGGCGCTGCGACGGGCGACGGGGACCCGCGCGTCGCCCCCCGTCGCCCGTCGCGGCCTGCGCGACCTGCGTAGGGCCCGCGCGCGGCCCGTACAGCCTGCGCGCGGCCCGTACGGGCTGCGCCAGGCCCGCGCGCGGCCCGTACGGGCTGCGCCAGGCCCGCGCGCGGCCCGTACGGGCAGCGCCAGGCCCGCGCGCGGCCCGTACGGACTGCGCCAGGCCAGGGCGCGCCTCGGGCCGCCCGCACGCGGTTCGTACGGGCTGCGCCAGGCCCGTGGGCGCCCTGTTTTCTCTGCCCCTGCGCTGCCCGCTGTCCCCCGTGCTTCTGACGGCGCCCCACCCCTGCTGCTGCCCGTTCTCCTGAATTAGGGTTTGGGGGTGGGGGGTATGGGGGTGCAGTTTCTGTGCGTCGTCCCCTGCTCCTCCTCCTCCTCCGTCTCCCAGTGCTGCAGCTGCCGCTGAGGGGGGTGGGTGTGTGGGAGCCGAAGGAGTGGTACTAGGGGGGTGACGTGCAAGTGGAGTTAGGAGTGAAGCAGTGGGTGTGTGGGGGGTGTGTGGGACAGTTGGAGGAGGTTGAGCGGAGGCTGCTGTCTTGTCGTCCGCAGCACCTGTAGTCCGGGGCGCACTGTCCTGGTAGCCCAGAGAGCCTGCTGCGCCTGTCGCCCGAGGGTCCGTTGCTCCTGTAGCTCCTCGTAGCCCGTGAGCCAGTTACTCCAGTAGTCCGGGGCGCACTGTCCCGGTAGCCACTGTGCCAGCAGCTCCTGTTGCCCGTGTGTCTGCAGCTTCAGCCGCCGTCTCTCATCTTCTCTCCTCTCACAGTCCCTCCTCCTCCTCACTTGCCCGCTGTGACTACCACTAGCTTTGCTTATAATTGTGAACTATTACTATGCTTGCTTGTTGTGCTGATTACACCCCACTTTGGCTATGGGGGTGTGTCAGAATGTTATAATTGTCTAGCCTGCAGTGGGGTACTCTATAGTGAGTACAGCCCAATTAGGGTTTGCTATATGTATCCAACTGCTTGCTAGTGAACCACCTCCTTTCTTCATTCTCACTTTCTACTGCTAATTCTGACAGGAGGAGCTGGCCCACTGAAAACACATTCTCAAACCCAAACATGTTCGGGTTCGCCCCGAACATGCAGATGTTCGCCCCGCTATCACGAACCTCGAACACCCCTAATCACCAAAAACTGTTCGGGCGAACCGAACGGCGAACCAAACATGTTTGGTCTTCCCCCTTTACATGTTCGTGCAGGTTCGCGCAAACATGTTTGGTGTTCGCCCGTTGCTCATGTCTACTGGGATGTGTGGTCTGGTGGGGCATGTCACCGTGCGCCCTGAGCAAGTGGTAGTTCTGCTGCTTATCCGCCACGGGTTGGCGTCTCTCCCCTTCCTCTCCCGTCCCTTGGTGTTTCTCATGGTCATTCCCCTTCTTCTCCTCGGTTCTCTCTTTGCACTTTCCACGTGTCTCCATGTGTATCAATTTCTCTTCCCTCCCCCACCCCCTCCTTTCCCTCCTCCCTATGCGTCCCCCTTACCCAGATGTGTGGGGAGGTGGCGCTGCTGTGCAACATACTACAGCCCTTCACAGTCACGGCCAAGGAGCTCTGCCAGGTGAGCCACTCTCGTTGACTGTAACCGATGGAATGTCACAGTAAGCGGTCAAAATTGGCTGTAATATGCTGATATGTGACAGATAGGTAACTGAACTGCGATAGAAGTAGGTCGTACTGTGACTGTATTCTGTCGAGCTTTGCCTGCTGTACGTTGAACTGTCTATATGAGGTTGATCAGTGACTGCGACTGGAAAAATACTAACGATAAAATAAAATTAGAAAAAATAACACACAAAAAGAAAGAGCAACAACAAAACCATGTGTGCTCACTCCAAGCATGTGTGCTCACTCCATGCATGTGTGCTCACTCCATGCATGTGTGCTCACTCCATGCATGTGTGCTCACTCCAAGCATGTGTGCTCACTCCATGCATGTTTGCTCACTCCAAGCATGTGTGCTCACTCCATGGATGTGTGCTCACTCCATGCATGTGTGCTCACTCCAAGCATGTGTGCTCACTCCATGCATGTGTGCTCACTCCATGCATGTTTGCTCACTCCAAGCATGTGTGCTCACTCCATGCATGTGTGCTCACTCCATGCATGTGTGCTCACTCCAAGCATGTGTGCTCACTCCAAGCATGTGTGCTCACTCCATGCATGTTTGCTCACTCCAAGCATGTGTGCTCACTCCATGCATGTGTGCTCACTCCATGCATGTGTGCTCACTCCATGCATGTGTGCTCACTCCAAGCATGTGTGCTCACTCCATGCATGTTTGCTCACTCCAAGCATGTGTGCTCACTCCATGCATGTGTGCTCACTCCATGCATGTGTGCTCACTCCAAGCATGTGTGCTCACTCCAAGCATGTGTGCTCACTCCATGCATGTTTGCTCACTCCAAGCATGTGTGCTCACTCCATGCATGTTTGCTCACTCCATGCATGTTTGCTCACTCCATGCATGTGTGCTCACTCCATGCATGTTTGCTTCCCCCGAACGCATGTGTGCATCCATGGGTGGGTGCATGCATGTGTGCATGCAGGTGCTGCGCATCGACCGCCAGTCCCTCTCTATAGTCACATCGCTCTTCATCGTGGATGGCCGCCGCATGGTGGACAACCTGCTGCAGGTGGGGGTATTTCCGTGCACACCCTTATTAGGTGGGGCTAAGTGCAGTGCACACTTTGATTAAATGGGGGTAGATTAGTGCACACCCTTATTAGATACGTCTAGATAGTTGCACACCCTTATTAAGTGGTGCGAGATTTGTACACACCTTTATTAGGTGGGGCTAGATAAGTGCGCACCCTTACGACGTGAAACCAGAAAAGAGCACAAGCTGATTGCGAGTCCACGCCCATTGCATCCGTCCCTCACGTGACACTTCACACACAGTGCTCAGAGGAGGTGGGCAGCAAGTTTGAAGGGTTGGCTGCGGAGATAGAGGTGCTGGTGGCAGCACTGTGCACGGCACACCACACCATTTGCATATGACTTTTGAGGCGCCTCAAAAGACGGCACACCACGCCATTTGCATATGACCCCACTCCTATGTCATTGCACCCTCCCCTTCCCTCACATGACCCGCAGCGCTCAGAGGAGGCGGGCAGCAAGTTTGAAGGGCTGGCTGCGGAGATAGAGGCGCTGGTGGCAGCACAGGAGGCGGACCTTACAGTGAGCACCATCTATGCTGCGTGTGTCTCACTTGTGGACATGACCCCACTCCCATCACATTGCACCCTTCCCCCACAGCGGTCGGAGGAGACGGGCAGCAAGTTTGAAAGTCTGGCGGCGGAGATAGAGGCGCTGGTGGCGGCACAGGAGGCGGATCTGACAGTGAGCACCATCTATGCCGCGTGGACAGGGGATATGGCCCAGCTGCAGCAGCTGCTGGCAGCCGGGGCCAAGGCGGATAGAGCTGACTACGATGGTCGCACCCCTCTGGTAGGGCCGCCTCGGCTTGTCAGATGGGATCTGGCTGGGCTAGGTTTGAGACGGGCTTAGGCTAGGCTGGGTTGCTGGCACTGGCAGCGCAGTGAGCACCATCTATTCCGCGTGGACATGGCCCAGCTGCAGCAGCTGCTGGCTTTGTTCGTTGGGAAGTTCCCGCGATCTGAAATTTAGGTTGCGGGACAAACTGTTTGAGCTCAAACATAGTCGCGCTATGCAGCAGCAGGCATTACTACCACGCCCCTCACACATCACGCCATTAATACCTCTTCCAATAGGACTTAGCGAAATTAGTTTGTCTAAGGGTTCTCACCATGGCCCACCCTCACCTCATCACGGCATATCCAGCAGAAGCGTGGCACCAAGCTTGCTTCACGACATGAGCAGAACCAAAGCAAGAGCTCAACTGGATATCCACCCAAGCACGCACCTGCAGCCCCACGTGTAGCGAGGTCACCTGTCTGCGTCTGACAGCCCAAGCACGCACCTGCAGCCCCACCGTGCCTCCCTTGCTGGCCAGAATGGCGGCGGTCTCATCGTGGCCCGCTCTGAGTGCCTCCAGCAGCGGCGTGGTGCCGAAGTTGTCCACCGCGCTCACCTGCGCGCCCTCCAGCAGCAGCAGCCGCACCAGGTCGTTGTGTCCCCCCGCTGCCGCCAGGTGCTGTGATGGAGGCAGGCAGTGGGATGGGAGGGAGATACGAGGTTGCAAGGTGATGAGAGGATCGGATCAGAGCTGTTGACCTGCTCTCCCCCTCCAGCAGCAGTTGCCGCACCAGGTCGTTGTGCCCCCCCGCTGCTGCCAGGTGCTGTGATGGAAGGGGGGGAGGTGGGGAGGGAGGGGAAGGCCGCAGGAAGGAACGGAGGGAGGGAGGGAGGGAGGGAGGGAGGGAGGGAGGGAGGGAGGGAGGGAGGGAGGGAGGGAGGGAGGGAGGGAGGGAGGGAGGGAGGGAGGGAGGGAGGGAGGGAGGGAGGGAGGGAGGGAGGGAGGGAGGGAGGGAGGGAGGGAGGGAGGGAGGAGGGAGGGAGGGAGAGAGGGAGGGAGGGAGCGAGGGAGGGAGGGAGGGAGGGAGGGAGGGAGGGAGGGAGGGAGGGAGGGAGGGAGGGAGGGAGGGAGGGAAGGAGGGAGGGAGGGAGGGGGGGAAGGGGCGCTGGCAATCATACATACACACACACGCATGCGAAGCGAAAAAAGTTGCAAAAAAACAAAAATCAGCCCAAGGCAGCCCTACCAGGCGTGTGCGGCCGTCGTAGTGAGCTCTATCCACCTTGGCCCCAGCGGCCAGCAGCTGCTGCAGCTGGGCCATATCCCCTGTCCACGCGGCATAGATGGTGCTCACTGCGCTGCCAGTGCCAGCAACCCAGCCTAGCCTAAGCCCGTCTCAAACCTAGCCCAGCCAGATCCCATCTGACAAGCCGAGGCGGCCCTACCAGAGGGGTGCGACCATCGTAGTCAGCTCTATCCGCCTTGGCCCCGGCTGCCAGCAGCTGCTGCAGCTGGGCCATATCCCCTGTCCACGCGGCATAGATGGTGCTCACTGCGCTGCCAGTGCCAGCAACCCAGCCTAGCCTAAGCCCGTCTCAAACCTAGCCCAGCCAGATCCCATCTGACAAGCCGAGGCGGCCCTACCAGAGGGGTGCGAGTGCCTAGTTACCTAGGTTTAAAAAATTACTTGTTTTTGAGACGCTGTTTTGTACCTTGTCCCTACATCAAAATTTTTGGGTTATCAACTCTTTTTGTATCTTCCAACGACTCTGAAACAATGGTTGGTTAAGAGTTCGTTTTTGCCCCAAAACAAACACAAACGTGGCCATGGTGATGCCTCAAGCTGCATCGGCGTAAGCCTCTGTCTCTCCCTCCTGCCTCTGTCTCTCCCTCCTGCCTCTGTCTCTCCCTCCTGCCTCTGTCTCTCCCTCCTGCCTCTGTCTCTCCCTCCTGCCTCTGTCTCTCCCACCTGCCTCTGTCTCTCCCTCCTCCCTCTGTCTCTCCCTCCTCCCTCTGTCTCTCCCTCCTGCCTCTGTCTCTCCCTCCTGCCCTTGTCTCTCCCTCCTGCCTCTGTCTCTCCCTCCTGCCTCTGTCTCTCCCTCCTGCCTCTGTCTCTCCCTCCTGCCTCTGTCTCTCCCTCCTCCCTCTCTCTCGCCCATGTCTTTCTCTCAATGTGCCGTGTGGCGCAGTGTTCTCACTGCATCTGCACCCCTGTGTCCCCATGACACCACAGGCACAGGAGACCGGGCCAGTGCTATGTGCAGCGGTGGCAGCAGCGGACACGGGCCTCCTGCAACGTTTCCTGGCACACAGAGCATGCTGAGGCGTCTCAAAGGGACCGTCCATCCATCCATCCGTCCACGTGCCTCCCTCTCCTGCCCTCTCCCTCCCTTTCTCTGCCCCCACACTCCACAGGAGGCAGGGCCAGTGCTGTGTGCAGCGGTGCCAGCAGCGGACACGGACCTGCTGCAGCGTCTGCTCTCCCACGGAACATGTTGAGGCATGACAAATGGTCTTCCCATTCGTCCGAGCCCCTCCCTCCCTCCCTCACTCACCCACAGGAGGCAGGGCCAGTGCTGTGTGCAGCAGTGGCAGCAGCGGACACGGACCTGCTGCAGCGCCTGCTGTCCCACGGGGTGCATCCCAGTGCGAGTGACTACGACCAGCGCTCCCCGCTGCACATCGCCGCCATCAAGGGCCACCTGCACGTCGCCTGCCTACTCGTCGACCACCACGCTGACGTGGCAGCCCGTGATAGGTGCGCGAGGGCTGCATATATTCTGTGCAGTTGGGTGTTTGCAAGCTTTGAGGATTGTCAAGGTAATGCATGTAGTGCAAGGCAGGGCTGCGGGCCAGCCTCCTCTCTCCATGTCTCCCCATCCTTTGCCATGCTTTTCCCTCTTCTTCATGTATCTCCATGTCTCTCCTTATCCCTCCATGTCTCTCCATGTCTCTCCATGTCTCCTCTGTATGACCACTCCTTCCTTCCCATTGTTCCCTTGCTGCCTCTCCTTCGTCCTGAACCAACCTCCTGGCAGGTGGGGAAGCACCCCATTGGATGAGGCTCGCCGATGTGGCAGCCTGCCGTTGGTGCGATTTCTGGAGGAGGTGGGGGCACGTCAGGCCAGCCGAGCGCACTCTGCTGCCCCTCCAACAGCCACTGCGGCTGCTACAACTGCGGCCGCCGCCACTGCTGTTGCCGCCACTGCTGCTGCCGCCACTGCTGCTGCAGCCACTGCTGCTGCCGCCACTACTGCTGCCGCCACTGCTGCTTCTGCCAGTCCTGCAGCTTCCACTGCTGCAGCTCCAGTCGCTCCCCCTCCTACCGGTGCCACCCTGTCCGCATCTGCCGGCCCCACAGTACCCCCATCCCCCTCTGCAGTGAGGCAGCTTCTCAGGGAGGTGGGTGCAGAAGAGGCAGCTGGGGGGTTGGAGGATGGGGGGGAGGACGGTGGTAGGGTAGAGGGTGTGGGCAAGCAGCATACAGTGCTGGGACGGGGAGAGGGGAGGGGGGAGAAGGAGCAAAGACGGGACGGGGAGAAGCATAAGGAGCGTGGAGAGGAGGATGACAAGCACAGCACATGAGGGCCATGGCAGGAGCTGGTGGTGGGGCGCGAGAGAGGGTGTTGTTGAGGGGTTGTCCAGGGACAGGATCTAGAGTCGCAAGGATGGCACACAGGCAGTGATTGGGACAGGTGCGGAGCTGTGATAGCACGTAGTGAGGTGGTCCTGGAATAAAAGACCGTCTATATTAGAGTGTGGTACCCCCCTCACTGATACTGTAGGTGTTTTTTAACAAAATTTTGTTCGAGGCAACGCTATTGACTACCTAACGGTGTACAATTTTTTAATAATTAACATCAAGGCTCCTTGATCTCCATCAACTTTTCTGCCCTCTCTTTTGGGCCTCCCTCCCCTATCCTCATTCCCTCACGCAGTGTGGCTGCTACAGTTGGAGTGCTTCAGAAGGGGGGAAGAGAGGTACAGGGTGGTGATGCTGAGACCATGGAAGTGGCTTCAGGCAATTGTGCTGAGTTTACTGGCGTACAGTAACTACAGGAAAACTTTCATTATGCAAACATCGGATTACCGTACATTACACTAACTGAAAGAATATACAAGCAGCAAGTCCAATGAAAGTACAGAAACCCAGCAGCAATATGTGAGAGAAGCAGCTTATCTAGCAATCCACTGGATCATGCCAAACCCCGAAGCCAGCTGTACGGATGCAAGAGAAGCGCCTCTACTGTAAGTAGTACTGACCAACCGATGCTACAACATTCCCCTTCACCTCCACGCCATCAACATTTACCGAAAAAAAAAAGCTCGAGGGAGACGCGAACACCCCAGCGCTTTTTAACGGTTCGATCGGGTTGATAGGCACATAAGCCGAGGTGAGCTGTGCGCCGCCATTCGCGTTGCAGCTCCAAGTGCCCGTTGCTGTGTCCGCTTTGGCCGTGCATGGAATGGCCTTCACGAGGGCTCCCGTGCTGAGCCTGTAGAAACCGGCAGCCGTGACCGTTGCTGACTTGCCAATAGGTATGCCCGCTACGCTCGAGGTGAAAGTAAACGATTGGTAGGTAGACGAGCTGCACGAGGAGAGGGCGAGAAGGGGGGTTGGAGGGAATGAGACAGGCTAGTAACTGTGAGAGCATTACGGGATGCTCGGTCCTTGAAAATCATGCAGCTAGTACTGATACAGCTTTCGTGGCTTCGAGGGGCTACTCAACACGATCATTGCGATTATGCGATTGATGAATCAACATTTTTTAACGGGGAAAATCATCGCTTACACGTCAGCACGCAGGGCGCACGAGCCAGTCAATGCACGATTGCTCGAAGCAAGCGTTGACGACGCTTGGTCTGCGCGACAATAGGAAGGATAACCACAAATTGGGGTCGGTGGGGCGGAAGAAGGAGGCCAGCGGAGAAGTAACGGCAGCATGAGACACGAAACAGGGAGCACGTGCTGCAGGTGCACGGATACGTGCAGAGAGCTGGATACGGTGCAGAGAGCACGGGTACGGTGCAGAGAGTACGGATACGGTGCAGAGAGCATTGATACGGTGCAAAAAGCATTGGTACGGTGCAGAGAGCATTGGTACGGTGGAGAGAGCATTGACGGTGCGGAGAGCATTGATACGGTGCAGATAGCATAGATACGGTGCATAGAGCATAGATACGGTGCAGAGGGCATTGATACGGTGCAGCAGGGAGCATTAGACTATCGAATCCTAAGTGGATGTGCTTCCACCTCGGTGCGAGTCGAGGCAGGTTGACTTACAGCGTCTGATGGAAGAGGCGCCACTGGCTATGAGCCCACGGCGCCCGGCAATGGCGCTGCAGGAGAGCGAGAGCAGCACTGAACACAGAGAACGACGCACGTGGAGAAAACGAATTGATGGGCGTCTGAATCTCAGAGCGGACGGGCAGACCGTCAGAGTTTCTCGAGCAAACTCGCGGTTTTGACGGAATAACAGGGACCGGACGAGTAGAGTGCACAATCACAGTGAGCGTTGCCAGGCATTGCCACTGCTCGATGGACAGCGTTGACAATCAGATTCTCTCCAGGGAGGACGATCGCTTTGGAGTCGACTCAAAAGCTCTCCACTCCTCAAACGAACGGCAGTGAGAGTATCAGATACTCACCAGCGAGGACGATCGCAAAGTGAGCGGACGTGTGCGCCATGGCTGCTTGAGAGATGCGGGTGGTTGGAGAAGATGCGAATGATGGCGCTGGCTTGAACGAAGGAACAAACAGGTCTATGAGCTGCTTATACGCCGGTGCTCGCAAACTGTTGTACGTCCGACAGTTTATTTAGAAGTTGCGTGATAAATAATTCGGACTGCTGCCCTATACTCCGCTGAGCTCGAGCTAACTGCTCAGTACGCTTGAGAACAGCGGCTCGAACACAGTTGTTGCTAATCCGCGCCTTTCGGCGTGGTGTTGCTGTTCAGGTGGTACGATGAAAGTGGAAAGAGGAAACTGGAAGGAGAAAAGGATGAAGTAGAAGCGCCAGGTGATTTGGGTATCGGTACTCGCTTCCATGGAGCTCTCGAAATACGACCCAGCAGTGACGGCGGCCTCTCAGGTGGCTACACTGTATCGCCGCATGTCATGCTTGTAAAGAACTGCTGGTTACATGAGCTGATTCCTCATAGTACCACTCTTGACCGTCCTAGAACCTGTAAAAAAATGTTTTGAAACCAAGCAGGTTCTCCACCTTCCTGAAACACATGATCTGGCGCGCGCGCCATTTTGCGAAGTGTTGAGTTGATGCTGATCTGCATCTCATCCAGATCATGCAATGATTCAAGGCGCCGCACCTGGCGCAAAACCATTTATGAAAGCACTCGCTGCAAGCCAGATTATTCATAATCATTTTCAATAAAATACTACTCTTGTTGTCTCACAACATAATAATACAATATATTTCCACCACATAATTTATATATTAATTTGATTGTACTATGCACAACAGTAGTGGAAATTTAGGGTTCCAATTCGAGTTTTTCGCAAGGGAGGTTTTCGTGTGTGACTTGTGGAGATTAGCTCTACAACGGTGGGAGCTACAATACGGGGTAGGCACGAGTTGTCAGAATGATCGTAGCCCTGTCTGTGTTCTCTAGCACTTGTGCGTTCACAGGGCAAAACAGCAAGAGTTTCACCAAGGGAATTTGAGAATACAGAGTTCAGAACGAACAAGCAATGGAAAGATGGACTACATCACATGCAATGTTTGCTAGTGCTCAAGAATGTCGATCGCCAGCACGACAAAGTCGACGACCTGCCAACGCAGCAAGTCTGCGGCCCGCCAACGCAGATCGTGCGCGACTTGCCAACGCTGCAGAATGGCGGTCTGCCAACGCTGCACTCGCGCGGCTTGCCAACGCTGCACCCGCGCGACTTGCCAATGCTGCATCCGCAGGTGATTGTAAGCATATGTGCAAGCACCTACTTCGTAGGTGCTTGTAGACAGTTACGCATGACATGCACTGTCGCGCACATTGTGCGGGTGCCAGGTCAGCCACATGCAGACAGTTGCACCTGATGAGCCACGTCGACCACGTGCTGCCACATCGGTCGACTTCGCCACAGCAGCCTCGGCGACGTTCGCGCACCTCCGCATAACCTCGTCGAGCAGGTAACCCTGCAGGTCGTAGACCTTCGTCGTCATCTGTTGACGACCCTCGTCATCACGGGTCGACGACCTTCGTCGTCGCGGGTCGATGACCTTCGTGTGCCAAGATTTGAATCTTGTGAAGTCAGAGGCGTCTACTAGGAAACGAAAGACGACTCAGGGGAGGGTGCGAGCCAAGAGCTTGTCCGCAGAGGTATCACGGGCATGTGCAAGGCAGCCCCATACACGAAACTCCGACGCAACACCAAGGGACCCAGCCCTAAGATTGGTCGGTGAGACCTCCGTGCAAAAGACACGCGGCCAAAGGTTCAGCTGGTGGATGGCATAGCGAACCACGTAGGGCCACAGAAAAGGGGGTGCACGGGGATAGACCATGGAGGTGCGGCAATCTCCATGACAAAGCCTATGCGTCACTCATTCTACTGTGAGCACTCCGGAAGCATCCAAGACTGGGTGTTCCCTGCTCGCGACAGAACCCAGCAAGCACGCCGGAGCAAAACTCACTCCCACGGTCAGAGTGGAGACACAGGACATGACTACCACGCAGAGCACTAGTAGCATACCCTCGACGCAAGGAGTGCACGGCTGCGCTAGCGAAGGAGGGAGTGACCTAAGCACGGTCGAGAGACCTGAAACAAGACGGAGGCTAGACATGAAGCGAAGGCGTGCGAAGGATGGGTGACCAAGACAGTGGTGCCACAGGACTGCCGGGTGGGTGAGTTACCGACAGGAGCACGGCGCATCAACCTGACCAGATGTAGCTAATTGGGGGGATGCAGTGTGCAGTGTGAAGAGATCCGAGCGGGAAGAAGCCCCCGTACGGTTCCCTCATTTAAACGAAAATTGAATATGACCTAGCGGTCTCGAAGGTGTCCATCACCCACCAAGTTTCTAGTGAACGAGGGGATGTGAAGACCAACAAGAGAACTAGAGGGGGCGGCCAGACACGAGAGCGTGGTAGAACTGCGAACAACAGTTGGTCCTGAAGTGGGACCAGCCAAAGCTACAAAGACTGGTGCCGTAAGTGGTGTGACAATGGTGTGGTCGCAGAAGAAGTGTTACAAATGGCGAATTAAGAAACAATGTACACTCCTATCAGTAGCAAGCAAAGAATGCAAAGCCGAGAACGAAAGCGAAAGGTTGGAATGACGCGAACAGTCGCGTACGGTTGGTAGCGTCTGGACTGTTGGAGCCGAAGCATCGGGCAGCTGCAGGAACAAGGGTTTCGGCGGGAACAAGTTCGTAACCGTGTGGAGTCGCACGGTTGAGTAATTGCTGCAATAAGAGAATGTACCTTTTAGAGTACGTGGCTAGTTAGGTCGTTTCATTTTCCCCATCTACTACTATGAAAACCTATGTATGTTTTTGTTTATCCGAGGTGATCCTAGGCGCGATCAAGTTTGTGATCGCAACATGGTAAGAGAGCGACTCAGGAATCCTTTGCACTGCCACCCCCAACACTTTCGGCGAACTAAGGTGGCGTCCGGCATACGCTCGCACTAAAGTATGGCCGGAGGATCTGGAGGTCAAACAAATCCTACGGCTGAAGCACCAACCAATCCAATTGCGACATCCAAGGCGACGATGACAATCATCTCCGTCTCACTCGAACAACTGCTTTAGCGACTCTCGACTTGGCGAAGCGGGAAACTCCCCGCAACCCTCTCAACCGGCCACAACTGATCGTGATTCCCGCACACATTCTCCTTCGAAACAAATAGATCGACACCCAAAGCCCCTTGCCCCGGCGATGGCACAATTCTCTCAGCTCAATCAAGGTTCCAGCACATAAAAAAAAAAAACAAGACAAGTTGACTTGACAACCTGGAGATTTCTATACCTGGAGCTTTGAGCTGGAGCTGCTGCTATAGAACGCACAGTTTTTTCACTACTTTGACGGGAGCTATGCGGGACCCTCGGCCAACACTGTGTCAGAATGTTATATTGCTTACTTTGTGTAAGCTATAGTGGGGTAGCCCATAAGGGGTACAACCCAATTAGGGTTAGTACTTGTACCCAACTCTTTCATAGTTCATTCATTCTCGTTCATTCTTCTGACATGGTTTCAGAGCAGGTCCTTCGCTAGGACCGATTTTTTAGGGCCCACCACAGAGCTGCCCCACTAGCTGCCCTGCCCTACCAGCGCCCCAACCTGCTGGCTCATGCGCCGCCCTCTGCAGCCCTCGTGCCACACCTGCTGCCCCGCGCGCCGCCCTTTTGCGGCCCGCCCGTAGCCCCTAGGCCCCGCGCGCCGTCCCTTGCGGCCCGCCCGTCGACCCTAGACCCCGCGCGCCGCCCCTGCAGGCCCGCGCGTCGACCCTAGGCCCCGCGCGCCGCCCCTACAGGCCCGCCCGTCGCCCCTGCTGCCCCACGCGCCGCCCCTGCAGGCCCGCCCGTCGACCCTAAGCCCCGCGCGCCGCCCCTGCAGGCCCGCCCGTCGACCCTAGGCCCCGCGCGCCGCCCCTACAGGCCCGCCCGTCGCCCCTGCTGCCCCGCGCGCCGCCTCTTGCAGCCCGCCCGTCGACCCTAGGCCCCGCGCGCCGCCCCTGCAGGCCCGCCCGTCGACCCTAGGCCCCACGCGCCACCCTTGAAGGCCCGCCCGTCGCCCCTGCTGCCCCGCGCGCCGCCCCTTGCGGCCCGCCTGTCGACCCTAGGCCCCGCGCGCCGCCCTGCTGCCCTGCTCGCCGCCCCAGCAGCCCCGCGCGCCGCCCCTTGCGGCCCTCTCTTCGCCCCTGCAGCCTCGCGCGCCGCATCTTGCGGCCCGCCCGCCGCCCCTGCTGCCTTGCTCGCCGCCCCTTGCGGCCCGCTAGCCGCCCCTAGGCCCGCAAGCCGCCCCTCTTGCAGCCTGCGCGCCGCCACTTGCAGCCCGCTTGCCGCCCCTTGCTGCTGCCTGCCCTGTTCCTTGCGCTGCCCGGCT